TTTCAAGATAAAACTATTTTTGATAAATCAATTACTAGATTACGAACCAAAAGCTATTGAAAAAGCTCTCTTAAATAAAAAGATCCTGTGTAATTTCTTAAATATATCTATACTTGTTGAGCTTCAAATTGAAAGAGACAACATAATCTAAAGCTTAGGTGCAGCTGCCATGAAAGACCGTTCATGACTCAAATGACAGTTTATAATATCTCATTATTGAGCCTAAGTTATATCCACCCCTACTCCTCTACCCCTGTTCTTCAACCCAATATTGAACTGATTGATTTTTTTGTACATTTTGATCCTTAACATTTATTTTTTTGACGAAATACGCCATGATGCTTCAGAATTCGAATAAAGATCTTTGAGTTAGTTTTAGTGTAGCTGATAAGTCGGTTGTTTGCAGTTGATATGATGTATTTTGTACATGATAAAACAAATCCAGATCAGTGACAGGTGGATAGAATCATTTTACATTAGCAATATCGATTTAGTCAGACCTTAGCAAGTCATGATCCCGATAAATTTCAGTTATAATTCAGTTAAAGAAATATTTTTAATCGATTTTTCATTGATCTTTTAAACGATAGGACAACGTCAAAACGTTGGTTTTAAATCCATTTTTTAACCGAACTCGCTCAGTTTTTACATTAATTAATTCTAGTCATAGTGAGGTAACGGCGTCTTCGTGGATCAAGTTGATTACAGTTCCACGATGGATGGCATCAATGCTAATAGCATGGCTATCTTGAAGGGGTATTGAGAAAGAAGAATACTCAACCAAACTTCAACGAGTCTTAAAAGACATCTCTAGCACCGGTACCAGCAGAACCTCAAATCTAAGATAATGCATCCTTGCGTTTCTAAACATTTTCTCGAACAGGTTTTTAGTTTTTTAGAGAATGTTATGAAAATATGATAAGCCCCCCTAATTAATAAGGTTTGAAAATTTACATATTTCCCTTATTTTCACTGGCTGAGGAAATTGAGTGTTGAGATAATAAGGTTTACAGGAGAACTTTTTAAACTTTTTACAAATGGATCAGTGCTGAGTATTTGATTTTATTTATTGTCACAGTATCTACAGAAATTTTTCTATTTTGTAAATCCGAAATGAAATAAAAGAGAAAATCTTAATTTTCTGTAAAAGCATAAATATTCAAGACTGCAATAAAAAAGCGATAAAATCTATTTCTCTTTGTCCTTCAAGTCTGTTTTTCCTATAAATGTAAATAAACAAGGAGAACAAATCATAATTATACAAAACGGCATTGCTGTGTTCATTTGAGTCCTCATCCTCCCGCTAAACTGAAGCATTATGCTGACACATAAAATGTTTTCTCGTGTTGTTTGTCCAATTCTCGTGTGCTGTGTGTGGGTGTCCTTTGCAGAGGAAAACTCATCAAGCCTTAACGATACAAATCTACGGAAAGGTAAGTTATGAAACCGTGTATTTCCCTTGTTCACTTGCGGTAGACAGATAAAGGAATACAGCCAGGAAGACTGATTTGCATCCGAATCCACCGTGAAACCTTTAATGTGACTTCATTTTTAAGGGTGAACATTTTGGGGAAGGAAAGTTACCGTTCAAAACGATTATTTTTTATGAGTTCAGTTT